TATAATAGAATTGGGAACCAGAATTGCCTGATATAATTGTCTTAACACTTAATGACCATTTCCAAGCAAATTATATACAGTAGAAAATAATGCTCAGCTGCAAAAGTCCCCTATCATGAAACTAAGTTTGCCATTTAAAAAAAATTATCTCAAAACATTCTCCTTTTGGGTAAAATATGAATCCACTCTGATTGTTACATTTGAGCTTTGGTGAGGAAAGGCGGGGATCTGCAATTTACTTAGCATTTTCCAAGGTGTTTTATTTTTCCTATATTTAAATGTTTAGCAGATACTTTATTTTTTAAATATTTTTTTGTTTTTTAATTACAGTTGACGTACAATATTATATTAGTTTCAGGTGTACAGCATAGTGATTAGACATTTAGATAACATCTGAAGTGATCATCCCAATAAATCTAGTACCCATCTGGCACCATACATAGTTATTACATTATTATTGGCTATATCCCATGACTATTTCATAACTTACATCCCTTTGAGAGTTTTGTAACTATTGTGACTATATCCCCTAAGCTGTACTTTACACCCCTGTGACTTTCACCCAGCCCTTCAAACCCCCTTCCATCTGGAGACCACCAGTTTGTTCTCTGTATCTTTGAGTTTGTTTCTGTTTTGTTTATTTGTTTATTTAATTAGATTCCACATATAAATAAAATCATAGTCAAAGTTTTAAAATTCTGGAAATCTGATCAAAAATATTACTTGGTAACTATTATCCCACTGATTTTATATTTAAAGATGTTGGAATTTAGACAGATGTTTGGTTCCCTTAAATTTGAGTAAAAGCTTATTGACATGATTGGCAAGTCATTACCTTTTAAAGGGTTTTATTGAGCACTGCTTAAAGTTTATTACGTGAAGAATGCTGCATTCGTTGCTGTAGCCAAAAATTTTTGCCACCTGAAAGAACTCTACAGCCTAACAGAAAATATGTGAAAATAGAAAATATGGGCTCATGCTAGAGGACCCAAAAGGAAAACCAAACCAAGCAAAAAGGGTATCCCATAATACATAAATAATCAGTTCCAACTCTCAAGTACACCAGATGCTTGAAGAAGTAGTAAGACTGTTTTTGTGACCACCTGAATGAAGACCTATAGCCACTTTATGTGGAGTAATCTGCTAATAATTAGGAAAGACTGGCAAATATACAGTTCTGAGCTTATCGCATTTTTGACATTCTGCAGTATCCTCAGATGTTTGTGGTACATTCAGAGTACCACTTAATTTTTAAAATCTCTACTTTTGAAATTGTAATAATACCCCATTTACCCAGCTGGAAATAACAGTGGACCAGATAACATTAAAATAAATGAATGGCCTGTTCAGAATTTAGGTATTAAGAAAGGAAATTAAATATATAAACATGGTATTTTTCAGGATAACCAAAATATTTTAACTATTTTAGTGAGCACGTCTATTACTATCTTCTGATTTGCTTCTTTAAGCAGTGCATAATAACTGACCAACAATGTTATACCGCTTTACAGTTCACAGACTCCTTTTCACATAAAAGATCTCATTTAGTTTCTCCAACAGGACTGTGAGTTAGGTGGTGGTGTTATATCCATGTTTCAAGGGTGATAAATCCAAGTGAGCTCTCTGATTTGGCCGTGACCACGCAACCAGCAGTAATGAGTGAGGGCTGAAATCCAGGGCCCCTCCTTCTGAAACACAATGTAATTTCAACGTTTCTTCATTTGAAGGGGCGTCATTAATTATTTGTTTTGTTTTGTTACAAAGTGATGCACGTGGACTATGAAGTTCAATACAGGCCACTGTTTCTTCAAACAGTTGAGATCCAGATGAAGCAGTTAATTTGCTTCTAGAAGCCAGGCTGTAAGATAAATATGCCCCTTTAAACATGAGAATCAAGCTCAGTGCAGGGAGATGCTTGCACCGTGAGAAGAAAGTGGAACCTCAGCCCACTGGAGGAACAGCAGACTAGGGTCTCTCCTTCCCACTCACTCTGGGGCCGTATGCCCACTTATTAGAATAGTAGGCAGATCCCAGCAGTGTTTAGATCGATCTCTAATCGGTCAGTCTCTCTCTCTCTCTCCCCCCCCCCCCCTTCCACTCTCTCTGAAAAGCAATGGAAAAAACATCCTCAAGTGAGAATTAAC